CAAAGTCAGCAAAGGCTATTCGAACAAGGGGAACGTCAGGCCGCCTTAAGAGCCGCAGAAACACCTGATGAAACTCAACACAAACTCATTGAGCAAGCTGAACGTCAATCTACTATAAGGGCATCTGAAACACCAGAACAGAAACAGGCGCGAAGAGATGCAAATGCACAGCTCCAAGCTGAACGTCCACAAAATTTTCAAAGAAACAATTGGTCGGTTTTTAATGACGCAGCATTCAATTATGATCCGTTGATTGATTATAAAAATCACAGGTTAGTTGTTATCGGACTGATGGACAAGGCGTGTCGTTTGCAGCGCTTTAAAATGGAAAGACGAGACCGCAGGCATGTGCTGTTCCAATGACAAAGTGTCTCTTCCGTTACTTGGGAAACCAGAAGAACCTTTGAAAACTCTCTTTTTATATGGTGCTAATGAGTCACGGCGCTTTTTAAACAGGATTCGGAAATATAACTCATGCTTTCAAATGACATCCTTCGGAGTTGACCGGGAAATAATAATGCCGGGATTTTCGCCTACATTTACGGTGCAAGGGCAAATTTATCATAGAATAGGTTCACTTTTTCCAGCTGAAAACGAACAGCATAAATTTTTACAAGTATATTTTATGGGTGACGAAGAAATTGAGGTAGACCGTCGCTGCCAATTTATCCAGGGAGTTGAGAGAGACACAGTGTTCAAAATTCAAAGGTTCTTGCATGAACGTAACATTTTAGTCAAAACATTTAAAACTGCTTTAGAAAACCTACCTGAAGAGGATTTTAAAGTCGTCATTCACGTAGATCGGACCCCTAGAGGAGAGCATGAAAGGCGCTACAATGCACCTTTGATAAACTAAATAGCAGCCGTAATTAGTGGTGATCAATTTTCTTCACGAGACATTGTCTTGCGAGCACCTGATGATACGTTGCAACGGGTAGCCGATACACACAAGTTTTATGACGCTCTGCAATACCCATTGATTTATTGCAAAGGACAAGAGGGTTATCATTTTCAAATTCCACTCATTAACCCGGTCACAAAGGAGCCTACTCCGAACAAAAAAGTATCATGTATGGATTTTTATGCGTATCATATGATGTTGCGAGAAAATGATTTTAACCTCTTAGCCCGGTGTAGACAATTATTTCATCAATTTTTGGTAGACATGTATGTGAAGGTAGAAAGTGAACGTCTCCGTTATATATCTTTAAATCAAAAAAGCTGCGCGTTGAGAATTATATATATTTACAAGATGCAGTTTCTAGGGACGCCAATGTAAACCCCAGAGATTTAGGTAAAATGGTAATTCTGCCCTCACAAGACGCATTCGCCTATGTACGAACTTACGGAAGACCTGATCTTTTTGTTACTTTTACTTGCAATCCCACATGGAAAGAAATAACCGAGGAGCTAATGCCGAGCCAAAAAGTACTGACGGACACGATTTAGTTGCTAGAGTATTTAGATTAAAAGTACAAAAATTAATGTATACAAAGGGAAAATTTTCGGAGAGGTGCAGTGTTTCATGTATTCAATTGAATGGCAAAAAAGAGGATTACCGCATGCCCACATTCTTAAGGCTTAAAGAGAAGTTGCGGCCCAGCCAAATAGACGACATAATAAGTGCCGAGATTCCGGATCCTGAGCAAGATAAAGAATTGTATGGTACCATCGTCCGGAATATGATTCACGGTCCATGTGGAGCATGAAATTCAATATCGCCATGTATGAAAGAAGGAAAATTTACAAAGAAATTCCCTAAACGGCTATTAAAAGAAACAGTGCACAATGACAATGGCTACCCTTTATACAGACGCAGAGCTCCCGAAGATGGTGGCAGGAAAGTTACAATCAAATCTCGCTCTGGAGCGTTCGAAACCTTAGATAACAGCTGGATTGTCCCGTATTCGCCCATTCTATGTAAAATGTTTAATACCCACATTAATGTTTATAAGTCGTATCATTTCATGTAGCTTTGTCCGCGCAATCAAGTATATCTGTAAGTACATAAATAAAGGAAGTGACCAAGCAATATTTAATCTCCGGAGTGAAGATGAGGCAAATCCCGTTAATGAAGTACAGACCTTTCAAGCAGGGCTTTATGTCAGCAGTAACGAGGCAGCGTGGCGTCTCCTTGGCTTCCCTTTACACGAAAGACACCCAACAGTTACTCACCTTGCTGTGCACTTAGAAAATGGAGAGCGTGTATTATGTATTATTCACCGAAAGAAATTTCCAAGAAAGAATTGCATCACCGCCAAAAACTACACTAACAGCCTTCTTTCAACTTTGTCAAACCGACCCCTTTGTAAAAACGTTGTTATATTCTGAAGTCCCCCGCTATTATACTTGGAACACATCTAGGAAGGAGTGGAAACGCCGTATTCAAGGCGCGCCTGTTGCAAATTGGCCCGGTGTAAAGTCATCAGATGCCCTTGGTCGTGTGTATACCGTCCATGTAACTAATTTTGAATGTTTCTGTTTACGATTGCTGCTGCACCATGTTCCGGGTCCTACAGGATATAAAGACCTTAAAACTGTCAAGGGTCAGGAATGCGCAACTTATAGAGAAGCATGTGACGCTCTGCATCTTTTAGAAAACGATAATCACTGGGATGAAACCATGGAGGAAGCTGTGCAGTGCCAGTCACCAGCCAAAATTAGGGATTTTTATACAACTCTCATATCATCTTGCGGGCTATCTAACGCACGTGAATTGTGGGACAAATATAAAGAGTACATGGCGGAAGATATTTTGCGAAGGTTACAGCAGACACACGCGAACATGACATACAAGGAACACATTTATAATGAAGCACTTGGAAAAATTGAAGATAAATTAATGGCAATGGTAGGCAAAAAATTAAGCGACTTTGGAATGATAAGCCCTCAGCGAACAACCGAAAATGAATTAAGTGATGAAATTATACGTGAAACAAACTACGATATACCAGCTTTGCAGCAGCAAGTAGCCGAATTTGTACCCCGCTTGCTTCCCGAACAAAAACGAGTTTTTGACAAAGTATTAGGACAAATTGAATCTGGAAATGGTGCACTTTTCTTTTTAGATGCCCCTGGAAGAACTGGGAAGACATTTTTGTTAAATTTATTATTAGCGCAAGTACGGAAAGATAAAAACATTGCTGTGGCCGTAGCTTCCTCCGGTATAGCCGCCACGCTGCTAAGCGGGGGCCGCACTGCACATTCTGTTTTAAAACTCCCTCTAAATCTAGCCCAGGAGGAATCGCCGATCTGCCAACTTTAGCAAAAATAGTGCACGAGGTATAATACTACGACAATGCAAACTTTTAGTGTGGGACGAAAGTACAATGTCGCATAAAAAAACTGTAGAAGCACTAAATCGAACACTCCAGGATTTGCGCAGCAATACCGATGTAATGGGAAATGTGGTTTTACTAGCTGGTGACTTTCGCCAAACTTTACCTGTCATTCAAAAGGGCACACCTGCAGATGAAATTAAAGCATGCCTCAAGTCGTCTATTTTATGGAACAAGGTGAGAAAATTAAGTTTAACTACGAATATGAGAGTGCATTTGTATAATGATATCAATGCTGGAAACTATGCTGACACACTATTAAAAATTGGCGATGGGCGGTTGGAAACGGATGCTGAGGGCTGCATTAAATTGACGAGCGATTTTTGTAATTTAGTACAGTCATTCCGAATTAATTGCGATCGTTTATTCAGATTTAGCGAACAACATGCATAAAGAAAAATGGTTATGTGAAAGGGCGATTCTTGCACCAAAAAATGAGAGCGTTAACAAAATAAATTCAGATATATTAAGCGAAGTAGCAGGAGAAATAACAGAGTATTTGTCAGTAGACACAGTTATGGACACAGAACAGAGCACTTCATATCCCGCAGAGTTTCTAAATTCTCTAGAGTTGTCAGGTGTGCCCTCACATAAGCTTCAATTAAAATTAAGAGCCCCAGTCATGCCTTGCGAAATTTAGATGCTTCTCCGTTATGTAACGGGACAAGGCTGCGTGTGACACATCTTGGACGAAACATAATCGGTGTTACAATTTTGACAGGCGTAGGAAAAGGTGAAAATGTTATTATACCACTGATCCCTATAATTCCCACAGATATTCTTTTTCAATTCAAAAGGTTGCAGTTCCCTATTAAGCTCAGTTTTGCAATGACAATTAATAAAGCGTAAGGGCAAACGTTACAGGTAGCGGGGGTCAACTTCGAAAAACCGTGCTTCTCTCATGGTCAGCTGTATGTAGCATGTTCGCGTGTGTCAAATGCCCAGAATCTCCACATTCTTTCCCCGAATGGAAAAACATATAACATGTGTACAGTAGCGTCTTAAAATAGTGTTCAGTTAGTTTTTTTTTTCCAAAATTCTCACAATCAATCAGAATTCCCACAGATCTTCCCTTTCAATTCAAAATTTCCTATTTAGCTCAGTTTCTTCTCAATTCCAAATGCTGCAACTCTGACCGATCTTTTATTTGGCTCAGTTTCCTTTCAATTTAGAAAACTGCATCTCTGACGAATCAATTTAGCTCAGTTTCTTTTCAAAAGTCTAAATCCCTGACGGATAATTATGCTCAGTTTCCTTTAATTAAAAAAAATATCCCATTTCCATTTGGAATAAACAGGCTATTTTCATGCTTTCCTATACGCTGCGTTTCAAAACATTTAAATAGGCTGACGAATCAATTTTGCTCAGTTTCCTTTTAATGGGTGCATCTCTGACAAATCCATAAAACTCATTTTTCTATCAATTCAAAAAGCAATGGATAGTTCATTTCCCAGTGACCATGCGGGCGAAGCCGCGGGTAACAGCTAGTAAGGAATAAATTAACATGCATTTCATTAAGGGTCGCTACATATTGTAGTGGGCCCATTCTCCAACAAAAATAAATTGTCTCCTTTATATAACACTATAAGAATAAATAAGCAGGTGGCTCAAGACTGCTTTCAAAGATAGGCCTAAGAAGAAGATATAGGATTAATGTCATACCTGGAAGATTAAGAGTTTTCTTCACTTTCTCTTCAGGTTTATGAAATTTTGCAGTCTCATAATTTATAGTAGTAGCTCTTGTTTTAGCAATCGTTGGGGCCTGGAAAAAATTTGTACCATGAATACGAGATATAAATATTTGAAAAATGTTGACGGCTCTATGACGCAGTGGCATAGCTTTGAATTGTGGCGCCAAAGGGACGCGGGTTCGAATCCCACAGGAAACAAGTATTTGTATATTGTGTAAATATCATGATACAGGAGAAAAATAACCTAGTTACATTTATAAAAAAAGTCATATTATACTTTAAGTTGGCCATTACACATAATTTATGATTTCGACTGCACTGAGTTATCTAACTTCCTATAACTGTAAGTTTCTGCTTTCACTTAGACTTCCTTCAAAATGGATATGGGTATTAACATATATGAGATATTTTAATGTGTGTAACTTCAAACTTTCTGTTAGTGACATTTTAGATGCTTATACCTTTTCATTTTGTGTAAATTATATTGATTGGTAACTAGCTATTTGTTGCATAATAACTCGCCAGTTTCATTGTAATCTGATGAAAGTTCATCAAACAAATAATCATGTGTTTTTGTTCGAAGCCTTTACGGGCGCGTACACAAATACTCAACAAAATTTCATCACAATTGGATGAATGGTATAGAAATACATATGAGAAAACAAATAAACATAAATTTATGCCTACTAGCTGGTTCCCAGCGCATTGCTGCCACAGAAGAAATATTTGTGGAAATATAATAATATAATATAGAATATAAATTCATAATGTTATGAATTTGGAAGAACTATATTGTTTGATTAGAAATGATAATACAATCACTGAAATTGAATTATCTATAAATTTTAAATAAAGTTGTCGTTATGATACGCGCGCCAACTAGTGTAAGTTAATTGTACTACGCCTAGAACCTTCACACTAGTCTAAGCAATAAGTTGACAAAGTTTTGCCGCAATCTGATGAATGGTATGGCAGCACATGAAATATAAATAAACAAACATTAATTTTTATGTATTAAGATATAACTTTAAGCATGCAGGTTTTTTTTGCTTGTTCTGTTTTTACTTTGATCAAAAAAAAATTGAAATGGTTGTAAATTAAAAAAAGAAAACAAAAATTTTAATTTCCTTTTGAAGTTGAAAATTAAGATGTTTCATTTCTATTGTAAAATGAATTGCCTAAGCTGAGATTCAAGCCTTGAATCCTTGCCTGTTAGTAAAAAAATGTTTAATGTATGGCTTAGTTAGGCACTCCAACTTTAATTAATTAATAATTTTTAAGCACAGTATGTTCTTTTTTATAATTTTTTCAACCAACTTCAAAAAAAGAGGAGGTTTTTAATTGGACTGCATTTTTTTTTTCAGAACTTTTTTCTTTTTAAGTGAACCGAGTTTAAAGATTCTTTATTTGAAAGCTGGTGCTTCTCATGTGAATGAATACATATTTAATTGACGTCAACTACATTGATGATGTTTTCATCTTATTTATATTGAAGTTGGTCATACAAAATTTTCTATTTTACCACTTGTATTCCACAAATTATATCTCTAGTAATATATATAATAGTAATCTCGGGGCACGGCAGTGCCCCCGCCAACTCGAGCAAAAAAGCGGTACGGCCCTACCATACTTTTCTCGAAGCAATTCAAGCCATTTTCGACCCCCTATAACTTCGTAGTGGATAAAACTAGAAGCCTGAATTTTCTGTAACCTAGAGCATTGTATAAACATGATATATTTCAATCAATTTGAACCAGTAGTTTAAAAATTATAACTAGTCAAAGTTTCTTAATTTTGTCACTCACTGACTGACTGTTCATCAAAATTCTAGGCACTTATAGCAGACATAGAAGCTTCAAATTTAGAATACAATCAATCTAGTCAAGTCAATCTATTTATTTGAAACATAAAAGATTTTTAACATTGATATGGTCACTATAAAATGTTGTTAGGTTAGCTAATTACGTAATAACTTAAAACAGAAGGACCCAACGAACCGCTCATGGATCTCAAAAATTTTTACGGTATAAGAACTGAGTTGTGAGACTTGGTTTTTTTTACAAGTTATGTTTTTGATGGCATTCAAGTAAAAGATTACTTAAACAAATTTTCTAATCAACTCCTGAATGTATCGAGTTCAGAATCAATATCATCACACTCATAATATTGCTCTACATCTACATTATAAATCAATTAAAATTTACGTTTAGCATTTTCAAATATAAACTACCATTTATCAGTCACCAGAGCTTCATTTATTAATTAGCAGGGTTTACAATATGCAGGTGGAGATTAACATCTTTTTAAAATTTTCTTACACTTCACAGTAACCAGTTTTTAAATAAGAGTAGTAACCAACTAAATTTATAATTGGATAAATGGTTTACTTCTTACCTTGGGCTTTGGTGAATACTTAAGCATTTTCCTAACAGAGTTATGCTTCAAATGTCCATTTACTGTGTGACTGGAAGTTTTGTCTACTTTCACAGATGTATTCCAATTCTTTTTCATACCAGAGTAATTTGGTCGAGGATGTCTTCTAGGTGATTGACTTTTTAATGCTGTAATGTTTAAAAAAATCTTATTGTAACATATAGATTTTTTTTAAATAATATTAGTTTTAATATAGTAAATTGCCGTGTAATAAGAGCAGCCACTATCCCATATCATGCTGTGGGTATCGTAAAAGGCAAGAGAGGTATGTATATTAAATAGGTGAGGAATATTAAGAGTCCTCTTACATTTCGGCGTTACGCAAATTTAGGTATTTTACGCTCCGAGCGGGCGGTGAACTAGTCGAGCGATACTTTCTTTCATATCTATTCACTCGTTCGCATTACCATACTGTGAGTACAGCGACTAAACGGTCTTGATCTTCCATTATACAAGTTTTCTTCGATCTACTTTGATATATTTTTCATTATTTATACGGCAATCGACGCACACTACAATAGTATCGAAACGACGGAGCGCGCGAAATCAACTGACGCAGGTCCTACCTCGACAAGCGTTCGCGCGATAGTGATCGCAGATGGCCGGCGGGAAATATATGGTACTTTTATTTAATTAATTAAAAAAGCATAGTACCGATTTAAAAAGTAAAAATCATGATATAGTTTAAGCAAATGTTGATGATTATTTTGTAAATTTCACGTCAAAATGATGTAGAAATTCGGAGATATTGAGGGTTGTATCGAAGCTTTTCGGTTTACATAATGATTTCTTGCTTTTTCGGTTGTTAATTGAATTATGTCGATTTTTTCCCTTACGTGAAAGGCATATAACTAAATTGTATTGAATTATTATTAAAGTATAGGATATTTGTGAGATAAAATTTTTTTGATGGATCGATATTTAACAGAATCTACAACTTAGAGCTCCCAAATCATGTCTCTCAGAGTTTTGGCGTTGGCTATAGACATCCGGTACATGATTTTGATAATGTTTTTAGTCTAGGAGGCTTGAGAGGGTTAAGCGTGAACCTATTACACTGTTTTTAGATGTCGGAAATGCGTTTTGAATTAATAACGATAAAAATAAATTTCACTAAAAATTCTGTATAACGAAACGCAAATATGACAATTTTGCATAGTATTATGAGATTAGATGTCAAAAACCGGTGTAAAAAGTTTGAAACGGGACGGTGTTAACGGCCATTTTGTGGGCAACCGTCAATGTCAAATATAATATGTGGTCTATGACGTCAAATGTCAATCGTCATTCCGTTTTTCTAGTGGTCACGCGCATAGATAATATACTATATAGGGCATAGATGAGCCACTCTAATAAATTATTTGGTGACGAAACGAGGAAGGTTTCTTCTTCGCTCTAATAGATGGCCTTAGAATTATAAATTACCGAAAAATAAACTAGAGGCCGCTATCAACTTGGTTCGGTATTATTTCGTATATATATATATATATATATATATATATATATATATATACACACACATAATTTAATATTAAATAATGCAATTAGGGAACTAAACATAAATTTAGATGCGATCCGTATCTGGTCACATAGATTTGATGTTTCAGTAAACCCGTTAAAATGTAAAGCAATGGTTGTGGGTAGGTCCAGAATGTTGAGTATGATTGACTATGGAAACCTCGAACCAGTTCTATATGATGGAATTACAATTCCACTTTTGCAATCCATAGTCAATTTAGGCTTACACATAGATCACTGTATTAACTGGGCAGCACAGATCTCGGAAATTAATCGTAAAGTTGTTGCTACCCTACGTTCCCTTTATCGTATGAAAAATTTCTTACCCTTCAAAACCAAGCTTTTGCTTGTTAATTCCCTTATTCTTCCTATTATAGACAATGCAGATGTGTGCTATCCAGACCTCTAGGCAGGCAGTGCCAGTTGTCACTTAACAAAGGCCTTTTGTGTTTGGGCATACGCCATGTTCAAACAACAATAATTCTTAAAGTAATAAATATACAGCTGTAAACTTTATGTTGCATTGTAGCTTAACTCAAAATCTGTCGATCTAGTATAAAAATAAGAAGGGTAAACGGGGTTGTTTTTGCAGTAATTTACAATAATTTGCCGATTAGCATATTTTTTTTTGATATTTAATATTTAATATTAAAATTTTGATAATGTAAACGATAAACAATATTATTGCCCTCCGAATGAGTTAATTTTTATCTCAGTAGGACTAAAACTTTGAGAGATATGACTTTTTTCGTAAACGCGTAGAGAATATATCAAGAGAAATACAAAATGGATGCCAAATAGAGGGGGAGGGGATTAGACCTCAGTGTGTAGTGTATTTTATATTAAAATAGCTGTATTATAAGTACCTAAATAATCGCTAGTCCGTAACCGGACACACTATATATATATATATATATATATATATATATATATATATATATATATGTTTGTTTTTATATACCTATATTATATAATACCTATATTTTATTTTATTTTCTATATGTATATTAGTATGTATGCATGTATATTTATTTACAATATATGCTTATTCATTTTAATATTTTTAGCACCAACCAACTATTGCAAGTCACATTCTCCCAGGGTTGACTGGTAGAGAATGCCATAAGTTATTAAGTCCGCCCATTGTAACCCTTAGATTAAGGTGTAAAACAATAAATATTAAATAAGTAAATATATATCGCAACATTTCAAAACTTTGATAGCGTGATTTATAGACGATAAAAGATAGCTTGATCTCTGCGACATATGTCAAACTGACATTCCTATGGTTGTCAGGATATAAAAAATTGTCGATAGAAATTATCGATGTTTCTTACTATTATCGACGCTAGTGTAACATATAATAATTGGGTTTAATTTAATTACAAACGTTACTAAATTAAACGAATATTTTTAATATAAAATGCATTTATTCTCTTAAAGGATCTCTTAAAGGAAACTTCAAATCCATATCTGAATCAGTTTCTGAATCGCTAGAACAATCTTGTAAATTTATTATAAACTCTTGTTCGCAAATATTATCATATCGGACGTCCCGCTCCCAATCTTCTTCCATTAGTTTTCTGCATTTGGTTACCACCTTCTTCCAGTCTTCTGCGGATACATTGTCGAACGCACTTTTTAATAACTGCATCATTTTATTTGCCGTGAAAGGCGGTGTTGTGTTGTATCTGGCAGCGTAACTTTAAAAGAAAACATATTTTTAATAAGATTAATTAAACAGTAGTTAATAATTAAAGTACCTATCTAACTGAAATTCAAGCAAACAAACCTTTGACATGGGCCCAGATAAGCTCGATCGAATTATACTGGCAGTGATACGGGGGTAGTCTTATGACGGTATGACCCTTTTCGTGGGCTATATCATCTAAGACATACGTTGGAGTACTAGGTTTGTGCAGACCAACGAGTCTTAATAATTCATTTAAAGCATAGTTTCATTGGCCTCTACTCCTTTTTCTTGAATATAAATATGCAATGATTTCTAATTTTATGTTTGCTGAAGTTGGTGGTTTGTGCTTTTGGACCGAGTGATATGGGGCGTTATCCATAATAGTGCAATGTGGCTCCTTTAAATAATCTAATAATTTTAAAAACCACTCCTTAAATTTTTCAAAATTCATTTCCTCGTGGTATACAGTAGTTTTAGTGGATTTGAATGCCAATAGGCAATTAGGCACAAAACCAGATGACGTCCCAGCATGAGTGATGAATAATCTTTGACCTTTGCCTTCGGGTACTTTGGTGGTTGATTGTGCAGTATCATCGGTCCAAGCTTTGGCTAAGGTATGATTGGCGTTTAGCCATGTCTCGTCTAGAAATATTACTTTGTCCCAATTTGTGATTTTTTTTTACTTTTCGGAGAAAATTCATCGAGCAAGACAATTCGGTTCTTTTCATAATAATTTTTCTTTTGTCACTTTTTTTATAGGAAAAACCAATATTTTTCAATATCTTCGTTAGAGATGGCAAGCTTCCTTTAAACAAGTCTTTGAGGTCTTTGAGGGACGCGGCAAGTTTTTTCAATGTAGGCAATTCGCCCCGTGTATAGTAACCATATACATGTCAATTATTGTCAATGTTTGTGACAGGAGCAGCCTTTTTCCTTTTTTTATTTGGTGTTGCAAGTTTTTTGTCCTCGTCTTCAGTCAATGCTGCGGTTGAAGATTCGCCATACTTTTCTTTGCTGATGCGAATTACTGTCGCATGTCCAATACCAAGAGCATCTGCAACTCTATCACATAAGTTCTCCATGGGTAATAGCGGCCCGCCATTCTGGTTCTCTCGCTCAAAATATTCACGTAAGCGAATCACAAACTCACGACTTTTGACTGTTCATAACAGTTTTCTTCGTTCTCTTTGGCATTATGCCAACAAGAAACTAACAATAATAACAAAAGATAACAAAACTCAACAAATTAACGTTTGTTATTGTTTAATAACAGCAATAGTAACAAAAACAAAGTAATGAGAATGGAAAACACGCAGCGTATACAAGGCGTCGGCACTCATACTGAAGAGAATGGAGGTTCATATCAAACAAGATGGCGGCACTAATTAGGTCGGCATGCCCATAAAGTATGACATTGACAGGTACTGTCTGTACTACTAAGAAATTTAGGACTTCATAGGCGTGATTTTACTGACAGCTGTCGCAGAGATCAAGCTATCTTTTATGAACCATAGGTATCAGCATAAATAATAAATGTTAGCAGTGGTGCCACCTTTTGAGTAAAATATGAAATAATAGTAGACAAAATAGTGCTTTTTACGGCTGTGAGATGGTGCTAGTATCAACATGATACTGATTATGGTCACCCGAATGTTCTCTCTTATGCTTAGTGCTAAGTTTTCTCTATTTCTTTGACGTCAATTTTTGATTGACTTTACTTTGTTTTTGAATTTGATTGGATTGCATTACTTTGGACTTTGGCTTGCTTACCAGACCTGAGAATGAGCGGTTACGAACCCGTAGCGGGGTCCTCTTCGGCACATGACGCTTTACTCGAGGCACCATCAGACATCGTCGAAGACTACTCTGACGACGGCGACTATGTAAAGCGTCGGCAATACGTGTCTGAGATATTAT